GAGCAGCCCCAAGTCGTGGTCCACACAGGCACCAACGACATAGGTAGGAAAAGGGATGGGGATGTAAGGCAGAAATTGAAGGAGCTAGGGTGGAAGCTTAGAGCTAGAACAAACAGGGTTGTTATCTCTGGTTTGTTACCCATGCCACGTGCTAGTGAGGGGAGAGAGAGCAGTTGAACACGTGGCTACAGGGATGGTGCAGGAGGGAGGGATTCAGATACCTGGATAATTGGGGCTCATTCTGGGGTAGGTGGGACCTCTACAAACGGGATGGTCTACACCTGAACCAGAGGGGTACCAATATCCTGAGGGGGAAATTTGCTAATGCTCTTCGGGAGGGTTTAAACTAATTCAGCAGGGGAATGGGAACCTGAATTGTAGCTCCAGTGTACGGAAGGTTGAGAGTAGTGAGGTCATGAGTAAGGTTTCAAGGTCGCAGGAGTGTACCGGCAGGCAGGAAGGTGGTTTGAAGTGTGTCTACTTCAATGCCAGGAGCATCCAGAATAAGATGGGTGAACTTGCACCATGAGTTGGTACCTGGGACTTCGATGTTGTGGCTATTTCAGAGACATGGATAGAGCACGGACAGGAATGGTTGTTGCAGGTTCCGGGGTTTAGATGTTTCAGTAAGATCAGGGAAGGTGGTAAAAGAGAGGGAGGTGTGGCATTGTTAGTCAAGGACAGTATTACGGTGGCAGAAAGGACGTTTGATGAGGACTTGTCTACTGAGGTAGTATGGGCTGAGGTTAGAAACAGGAAAGGAGAGGTCACCCTGTTGGGAGTTTTCTATAGGCCTCCGAAAAATTCCAGCGATGTAGAGGAAAAGATTGCAAAGATGATTCTGGATAGGAGCGAAAGTAACAGGGTAGTTGTTATGGGGGACTTTAACTTTCCAAATATTGACTGGAAACTCTATAGTTCGAGTACTTTAGATGGGTCAGTTTTTGTCCAATGTGTGCAGGAGGGTTTCCTGACACAGTATGTAGATAGGCCAACAAGAGGCGAGGCCACATTGGATTTGGTACTGGGTGATGAACCAGGCCAGGTGTTAGATTTGGAGGTAGGTGAGCACTTTGGTGATAGTGACCACAATTCGGTTACGTTTACTTTAGCGATGGAAAGGGATAGGTATATACCGCAGGGTAAGAGTTATAGCTGGGGGAAAGGCAATTATGAGGCGATTAGGCAAGATTTAGGATGCATAGGATGGAGAAGAAAACTGCAGGGGCTGGGCACAATTGAAATGTGGAGCTTGTTCAAGCAACAGCTACTGCGTGTCCTTGAGAAGTATGTACCTGTCAGGCAGGGAGGAAGTGGTCGAGCAAGGGAACCGTGGTTTACTAAAGAAGTTGAATCTTGTCAAGAGGAAGAGGGAGGCTTATGTAGAGATGAGGCGTGAAGGCTCAGTTTGCTTGAGAGTTACAAGTTAGCCAGGATGGACCTAAAGAGAGAGCTAAGAAGAGCCAGGAGGGGACATGAGAAGTCTTTAGCAGGTAGGATCAAGGAAAACCCTAAAGCTTTCTATAGGTATGTCAGGAATAAAAGAATGACTAGAGTAAGATTAGGGCCAGTCAAGGACAGTAGTGGGAAGTTGTGCGTGGAGTCCAAAGAGATAGGAGAGGTGCTAAATGAATATTTTTCGTCAGTATTCACACAGGAAAAAGACAATGTTGTCGAGAATACTGAGATACAGGCTATTAGACTAGATGGGATTGAGGTTCATAAGGAGGGGGTGTTAGCAATTCGGAAAGTGTGAAAATAGATAAGTCCCCTGGGCCGGATGGGATTTATCCTAGGATTCTCTGGGAAGCTAGAGAGGAGATTGCAGAGCCTTTGGCTTTGATTTTTATGTCGTCATTGTCGACAGGAATAGTGCCAGAAGACTGAAGGATAGCAAATGTTGTCCCCTTGTTCAAGAAGGGGAGTAGAGACAACCCTGGTAATTATAGACCAGTGAGCCTTACTTCGGTTGTGGGTAAGGTGTTGGAAAGGATTATAAGAGATAGGGTTTATAATCATCTAGAAAAGAATAATTTGATTAGGGATAGTCAACACGGTTTTGTGAAGGGTAGTAGGTCGTGCCTCACAAACCTTATTGAGTTCTTTGAGAAGGTGACCAAACAGGTGGATGAGGGTAAAGCGGTTGATGTGGTGTATATGGATTTCAGTAAGGCGTTTGATAAGGTTCCCCATGGTTGGCTATTGCAGAAAATACGGAGGCATGGGATTGAGGGTGATTTAGCAGTTTGGATCAGAAATTGGCTAGCTGTAAGAAGACAGAGGGTGGTGGTTGATGGGAAATGTTCATCCTGGAGTTCAGTTACTAGTGGTGTATTGCACGGATCTGTTTTGGGGCCACTGCTGTTTGTCATTTTTATAAATGACCTGGATGAGGGCGTAGAAGGATGGGTTAGTAAATTTGCGGATGACACTAAAGTCGGTGGAGTTGTGGATAGTGCGGAAGGATGTTACAGAGGGACGTAGATAAGCTGCAGAGCTGGGCTGAGAGGTGGCAAATGGAGTTTAATGCGGAAAAGTGTGAGGTGATTAACTTTGGAAGGAGTAACAGGAATACAGAGTACTGGGCTAATGGTAAGATTCTTGGTAGTGTGGATGAGCAGAGAGATCTCTGTGTCCATGTGCATAGATCCCTGAAAGTTGCCACCCAGGTTGATAGGGTTGTTAAGAAGGCGTACGTTGTGTTAGGTTTTATTGGTAGAGGAATTGAGTTTCGGAGCCATGAGGTCATGTTGCAGCTGTACAAAACTCTGGTGCGGCCGCACTTGGAGTATTGCGTACAGTTCTGGTCACCGCATTATAGGAAGGATGTGGAAGCATTGGAAAGGGTGTTCATGAGATTTACCAGGATGTTGCCTGGTATGGAGGGAAGGTCTTATGAGGAAAGGCTGAGGGACTTGAAGCTGTTTTCCTTAGAGAGAAGGAGGTTAAGAGGTGACTTAATAGAGACATACAAGATGATCAGAGGATTAGATCGGGTGGACAGCAAGAGCCTTTTTCCTTGGATGGTGATGGCTAGCACGAGGGGACGTAGCTTTAGATTGAGGGGTGATAGATATAGGTCAGATGTCAGAGGTAGGTTCTTTACTCAGACAGTAGTAAGGGCATGGAATGCCCTGCCTGCAAAAGTAGTAGACTCGCCAACTTTAAGGGCATTTAAATGGTCATTGGATAGACATATGGATGATAATGGAATAGCGTAGGTTAGCTGGGCTTCAGATTGGTTTCACAGGTCGGCGCAACATCGAGGGCCGAAGGGCCTGTACTGCGCTGTAATGTTCTATGTTCTAATTGCCCTTGGGAAGGTAATGCTTTATGCAGACAGTCCTAATGTAACTGTTTTAACCCAGTTTGTACAGTTACGTTTTGCTTTCTTTGCAAACATAATTGTGTTGCCAAGTCTGTTACCAAATGCTCATTCCTTTGACTGAACTATTAATTATCCTTGGCCATGCTACTACGGGTGTTTCTGTGCCTTAAGTCAACAATATTCTTATTTAATTTCCGCACTGGACTCCTTCAACCACTGTGAGAGCCTCTGAATGTCAGTGTGGTGAAAATGATGTTTTTGTTCTGCTTTAATTGTCCTAACTTTCCTTCCTTGAGGCAATAGCTTTAAAAATGTGCTGCTGATACATTATCTCATGCAAAGCTAACAAATAGTTACACTGCTTGTGCCAAAGTACGCAAATACCGAGTTCAAGATTGGGTGTTGCTTTGTGTATATTACTCATAGCCTTTTCACTTTTTAAAGAAATATGCAGCACAATTGCATACAATTTGAATACTGCACCTGTACGCAAGGGGGCTTGTCCAAGGCCAATCCAATCATCACATATCGAGCTTCAAATAATAGCAACTCCTGGCATTGTTCCGCTCTAGTCTTTGCATCACAATAGAATAGTATAGTACAGTACAGGCCCTTCGGCCCACGATGTTGTGCCAAACTTTTACCCTAATTCTAAGGTCTATCTGAACTCCACCCCTACCTTATACTATCATCCATATGCCTATCTAGTAGCCGCTTAAATGCCCCGAATGCGGCCAACTCCACTACCCTCTCCAGCAATGCATTCCACGCCCCGACCACACTGAGTAAAGAACCTACCTCTGACGCCTCCCCTATAGCTACCTCCACTCACTTTAAAACTATGCCCCCTCGTAATAGCTACCTCCACCCTAGGAAAAAGTCTCTGGCTGTCCGCTCTATCTATACCTCTGATCATTTTGTACACCTCTATCAAGTCCTCTCTCATCCTTTGTCGTTCTAAAGAGAAAATCTCTGATTCTTTTAACCTATACTTTCTTTATCTCTCTTCCAACACTGTTAAGTTTACATTCATATATTATTCTCTTCATCAAAAAAAATTTAAAAATTTTTTTTTGATGTGTATGTCTTTGGCTGGACCAGCACTTGTTGCACATCCTTAATTGCATTGGTGGCGGTGAGCCACCTTCTGAGAACTATTGCAATCTGTGTGGTATAGGTACACTGTCAGTACTAATAGGATGGGAGTTCCAGGATTTTGATCCAGGCACATTAATCTAGTTCCCTATCAGGTTGGTGCATGGTTTGGAGAGGAACTTCTTTTCACTGGATGTGGGAGTCACTAATTAGGCTCAATTCATTACCCATCCCTAAGTTGCCCAGAGTCAACCACATTGTGTGTCCTGAGTCACATGGCTAGACCAAGTAAGGATAGCAGTTTCCTACCCTGAAAGACATTAGTGAACCAGGTGGCTTTATCCCAACCGTTAACAACTGCTCCATGACCACCATTAGACTTCCAGATTTCCTTTTTATTTAATTCAAATTCCACCATCTGTCATGGGACCTTAGGACATCACCTAGGTCTCCGGATTAATAGTCTCGCGATAATACCACTAGGCCATCGCTTCTTGTACTTGCTGGTGTTCCCTTTTCTCAGCTGCTCTTGTCCTTCTAGGTGATGCAGGGCTTTGAAGTTTGTTGAAGGAGCCTTGGTGATTTGTTGAAGTGGGTCTTATAGATACTACATATTGCTGCCACTATAGTTTGGTGCGTGGGATGCCATTTCAGAGAGTTGATTTCTACTGAAATTTATTATTCTGAAAAGAGAGAGCCAAAGCCATAGAGATTTTAGAATGATATTGAAGCGTACAGGTGACATACACTCTCTCGCGTCAGGTAAGTGCTATCTCACGTGAAAATTCCAAAGAAATCTGCTTGGGCATGTTTTCCAATCTTGCGTATAGCATGACATATAAACATATGCTTTATATATATGAGATTAATATATGCCTAAGGCTAGTAAGGTCCCTCCAAACCTTCAGCGATATTTGTACATAGGCTATGCAGTTATATGCAGCATTATTTTATTCTAAAACAACAACTAGTGGCGCAATTTTCTAGCTTTTGCCTGTGGGTGATGAAATTAAGATACAATTAAAAGTAATAAACCAATTACGTCTTGCGCTCTAATCTCACACAGCTTCTTCCACAGTCGTTTAATTAGATCATTGTGGAAATCAAATCAAAACACTGAGTTGATTTGCCAACTCTCAACACTGTTAGCAGCCAAGTCTGCCTCTACTGCCATTTCAGTTGATGAACTGTTCTCCTTGGCAAAGCAGAGCAAGGCAGTAGTTTCTCTGCAAACCTTTTTGCTCTTGAGACAATTCACTGTTTTGGAGTTGAGGATTTCTGAAGAGTGGGATCGGTTGCTTTCACCCTGGGGTCTGCTTCAAACTGAGTACAAAAGCCTACCACCTTATTACATTGTTGCTCTTTGTCCAAACGGGATTTGATTTTGTCCGAAGTGCTCTCTTCCTTTACAGAATCTTAAGGCTTTTAAAACCCAAGCTTGTTGTCATTTCCATGCCTTACCTCAGTCTCGCTAATCTTTGGCATTCAAGCGGGAATGTGCAGTTAAGGCCTCAGACAGACAATAGCCATGATCAGGCCACCCCCTCCTAATTCTTGACCTTTTTATGGGCCTTTGTATTTCATTTATCCTTTCTCCATCTTTTAAAAAAAAAAATGCATGGTTGGTTGGATGACTGATGCTGGTATCAGTGATGATATGGCTTTGTGTCTTGTTTTAAAGCCTCATTGCAATTCTGTAGGTACGACAGCAGTGACTTGGTGCCCATCTGTCAGTATGGGGAGGAGAAGTGGAGGAACCCCTTTACACCTATGAATGGCATATGTATTAAGGTTTAGAAACATTACTTCTTCAGGTATAAAAATAAATACAAAGGAATGATAATGTGCCTTTAAATCTTAACAGCACCAAGTATTCTGACTCTCAAAAGGAGAGCTCTGTTTTTTTTTTGATCAGTTTTGTAGCAAGGTCTTTTCACCAATTAGATAATATTGGTTAAAGTGATTTGTAGATTTTTTTTGAAGATAACCCTCAACCTCCTGGCCCAGGAAGTTTATAAATCTACCAGTGTCCCTGTTCTTGTTCTGTATCCACTTACTCCCACTGGAATGTGCATTTGTGTCGCATAATTGTCGCATCACAGGGGGCAGCTATTTGGCCCATCATGTCTGCCCTGACTCTCCTAATTTCCGTTAGTGCCATTCCCCCTACCTTCTCCCTGTGATCCTGCGCGTTTATTCCTTTTCAGACAGCAGCCTGATTCCTTTCTGAATGTATCGATTGACCCTTCCTTCCAGGTAGTGCGTTCCGGACCTTAACCAATCGTGTGGAAAAAAAAATTTTGTCACATTGCTTTTGCTTCTTTTTGCTGATTATTTTAAGGGTGTGCCATCTTGTTCTCCTTTAGAGTAGGAACAGTGTTTCCCTGTTTGATCTTGTCCACATGTCTCTTTGATCCATTATCAAGTAACACTGTCAGTACGTGTGGCTGGTACTCACAAATAAAGGCGCTGGGGAATGTGTTCCTAAGCCCTGGTACCAGCAAGTCAAGACTTTGAGGGGGCACAGAGAACATTGGAGAGCAGGTGAAATAGAGGTACATATTGTCCAGCATTACTAAAAATCCTTCAATGGCTTTGCAGAGGCTCCAGTCACACCAGGCAGCGAAGAGAATGAAAAGGTGTCAGATGCTGACGCAAAGACGCATACAGCACCGCATGTGGGTACAGAGAAAACAGATATGGCAGGCAGTGTGATGGTTCTCAATGGCTCCGTGCCAGAAGCCGTCCGTCCCTCTGAGATGAAAAGTTCCGAAGCTAAAACACGCACAAGGTATTTATCAAAAATGTTGTGTTTGGGTCGAGCAGTGGGTTTGGCTTGATTGTAATCTGCCGATCGCGAGGTAGCCTTTGCTTGTGTTTAGCAAGGCTAAACGGTTAATTGATGCCATCGGGGCCATGCTGGATTGGGTTCCAGAGCTGTAACCGATCGACAGAGATGACCCTGGCACCATCTCAAGTGTTTGTCAATGCAATTACAGCCTGAGATCATTCACACTTTTAGTTGCAGGATCTAGTTCAAATTCTTTGGGATGTGGGTGATGAGTGGAGTTATAAATGGAAGCGGTATTTTGAGGAGGCAGTGTGATGAGGAGTTTGACAGTACAATGAGTTGAGCTGCAGAATGATAGAGTGTAAGCTCAGCTATCCATAGTCAGTGTTGCTGTGGGAAGTTCAGTGCCTCTACTGGGAAACAAAGGTATTAGGAGAGTGTAGTCCAGTTACCTGGTAGCTTTTACAGTGCATCTGACTCGATGGCCAATGTAGTGTTCGTTCTTTTTAATTCAAAACCTGCAAAAAAACTTGACAAAACTGTCAAGCAAAAGGGAGGCACTTCATAGTGCAAAGTACTTGATATGCTCTGGAAGATACTTAATTTTTCTCACATCTGCGACAGATTCACACCTTGCCTTTTGATTGTATTCTTATGGGGCTTTCAGGCAGAATGTTCTACATTTTTGATCTCTGGTGTCTGGTCCAGAGCAATGAATTGGTCATTTGGGCCTTGGTCACACTTGGAGATTGACCAAATCGTCGTTGTAATCTGTGAGTTCTGATGTGGCGTGGGATAAGGATTCACTGGTGCAGCCCCCTTGCTGGGACTTGGTCCTAAGAGCCAAGAAATTCAACAACAAACAAAGTACAACCAGAAAAAAAAATCTAAACACTCAACCTCCCTGAAAAACAACTCAGACTTGGTTCAAACCAGTATCCCTGAAAAATGTAGTCCGGATTCCAGAACCTAATATTTGTTATAATATAGGAACCGCTGCAGCTACTTTGCACAGTGCACTCCCACTTGCAGCAATGTGACAATGACCAGATAATCTTTTATTCATTTTTATTTCTATTCATTCACGGAATTTGGGTGTCTTTGGCTAGGCCAGCATTTATTAATTGCCCTTGAGAGGGTGGTGGTGAGCTGCCTCCTTAAACGGCTGAAGTTCATTTGGCATAGGTATACCCAGTCATGCTAGTATAAGGGGGAGTTCACAGATTTTGACCCATTGACAGTCAGGAGAGTGCGTACCTCAGAGGAGAGCATGCAGGTGATTGCAGTTCTCGACCATGACATTCTGCTGTGCTATGTGTTGGTGGTGGATGGAGTGAATGTGATGCCTATCCAGCAGTCTGAATGTTTTCGGGCTTCTCGAGTGTTGTAGGAGCTGCGCTTGTCCAGGTAAGTGGTGAGTATTCCATTGCATGCCTGACTTGTATGTTATGAATGGTGGAGAAACGTTAGCAGCTGCGTAACTTGTTTCCAAATTCCCAGCCTTTGATCTATTGTAGACACTGTATCTATGTTCTTTTGATGTTAATTGAAAGAATAATTTGTACCAAGACACCAGGGAAAACTTCCCGATTGTTCAAAATAGCACTATAGAATGTTTTACATCCACCCAAGCAGACCGTAGTCCTCAGGAATACTATCTTCCCTTTGTCCTTTTGAGTTTTGAAGGAGCTGCTGTTGTTTTTTTGTATTGATATAAATTAATATTTAATGAGCTTTGCTAATTATTTTCTACAAGGGATTGGAGAGGTACTATTCCCTCACTAATGAAACTCTATTGCATAAATTTCTGATGTAGCGAGGAAGCATCCTTAACTACCTCCGAAGTTGGACCTACAACAGGAAATGTACAGGAAGGCTCTGAAGCTCCAAAAGCCAGTCCAGTTCCCCAAGCTTCAGAATCTGTGCGGCAAGAACAGAGGTAAGAACTTCCCAAGGAGAAGGATCATGACATACACAGTAGATTGCTGAAAGAAGTCAAAGAGGAGATCGCAGGGGCTCAAGCTACAATCTATCAGTTTTCCATAAAAATTCAAATGGGGGAGCTGCCAAGATACCATGCAGCACTGTAAAACAAGAAGGGAGTATGGATGCTGAAGAAAAATGTGAAGGATTATATAGACTAGCTAGTCTGTCTGTTCTAGGCGAGCATAATTTCATACAGTATTTAGAAATGCATAGGTTAATCTAGGGCAGTTTATGTGGGTGTTAAAAGCAGTGCATGTTCAACTAATTTTAATGGCTGTTTTTTTGTTTTGGTAACATGACCTGATAGGTTAGGACTTTGCATTAGGTGTGAAGTTATAAATTTTAACATATGGGAGATTTTAATCAAACCATGATGTTAAAAGAATTTGGGCAAATTATTAAAAAGAGCCTCCATCAGCACAAATAGAAAATCATCTAATGAACAGAAAATAAAAAATGAGGGTGCTATTACTACTCATACAGAAGAAAGTTTGGAAGAAATGTTACCAGGGATTGATGCCAGGGAATTTGTAAAGTCATAGTCATAGTCATGCAGCGCGGAAACAGACCCATCATTCCAACTAGTCCATGCTAAGCATAATCCCATACTAAACTAGTCCCACTTTCCTATTTATGGGCAGCACAGTGGCTCATTGGTTAGCATTACTGCCTCACAGTTCAAGGGACTCTGGTTAAATTCCAGCCTCGGGCGACTGTCTGTGTGCAGTTTGCACGTTCTTCCCGTGTCTGCGTGGTTTTCTGCCGGGTGCTCCGGTTTCCTCCCGCAGTCCAAAGATATGCAGGTTAGGGTGGATTGGCCATGCGAAATTGCTATAGTGTCTTGGGATGTGTAGGTTAGCTGGATTAGTCATGGGAAATGCAGGGCTACAGGGATAGTGTAGGGGGATGAGCCTGGGTGCGATGCTCTTTGTAGAGTTGGTGTGAAGTTGTTGGAGCAAATGACCTGTTTCCACACTGTAGGGATTCAATGCTGCTGGCCCATATCCCTCCAAACCTTTCCTATTCATGTACATATCCAAATGTCTTTTAAACTTTGTGATTGTACTCACATTTACCACTTCCTCTGGAAGTTCCGCCACACATGAACCATCCTCTGTGTTTGAAAAAAAATTTACCCCTCATCTTTTTTTAAATCTCTCTTCTCACCTTATAAATGTGCCCTGTAGTCTTGAAATTCCCCATCCTAGGGATAGGACAGCTACTGTTAATGCTATCTATACCCCTGATTTTATACATTCCTATAAGGTCGCCTCTCAACCTCCTATGCTCCCAGCCTGCCTTTATAACTCAAACCTTCCATACCTGGCAACATCCTGGTAAATCTCTTCTGAACCCTCTCCAGCTTAATAATATCCCTTCTATAACAGGGTGACCAGAACTGGACACAGTATTCCAGAAGAGGCCTCATCAACCTCAACATGACATCCCAACTCCTGTACTAAAAGGTCTGAGCAATGAAGGCGAGCGTTCTAAACGCCTTTTTAATCACCTTGTCTCTATGTCCTTAAGCAACATAGAATTTCAATATGTTCCACATGAAAGTATCATTTATAAAGTTTTATGATAATGCAGTTTGAATTTCTGGGCTTCAATATAACGATCACTTTTAAGATGTGTAGTCAATCTGATTTCCCCCGACCTGTTAAATAGATTCTTTTGTTACTCATTGATGTGAACAGAATCGCAGAATTACTGTGGCACAGAACAAGACCATTCAATCCATCATGTTTGCACTAGATCTTCAAATGAGCATTGTAACCTAGTGTCAACCTTCTACTGTTCTCCTATATCCTGTGCATTATTCCTATCCAAATAATCATCCAATGCCCTCTTGAGTTTCTTAATTGAATCTGCCTCCACTGCACTTCCAAGCAATGCATTCCAGACCCTAACTACTTACATGTGAAAAAGATTTTTCTTTTGTCACTTTCGCTGTTTTTTGCAAATTACTTTAAATCTCTGCTGTCTTGTTCTCATTCCTTTTTGCAAGCAGGGTCAGTTACTCCCTATCCACTGTATCCAACCAGCTCATGATTTTGAAAGCCTCTATCAATCCCCTCATAGCTCCCGCCTCAAAAAAAAAGAGAAGTCCCAATCTCTTCAATCTATGCTCATAACGGAAATTTCTCATCCCTGGGACAATACTTGCAAACTGCTTCTCCACTTTTTCCAGTGCGCACTCATCTTCCTGTAATGTGCCCAGAACTACACAGAAATGTAGTGTTGATATCACACTTAGCTTAGTTTTATATTTCCTTATACGCTGGCATTTTCTAGCATTCCCACTATGTAAAAAGAAATCATTTAACAGCCCTGATGTTTCCTTATTTAAAAATAGGAGCATGACTAAGTTATTCAGCCTTTATTATCCATTCTATTATCACCATCTCGGCCCAATATTCACCATTACCGCAATCTTTCTTGATATACTTGGAAAATCTCTGAAGAGATGGCAAAGCTAACAATAGAAATTTTGAGGTTGTACTGATATTGTATTGTACCATATGCTACTTGAATATTTTCTACACTGTAGGTGTAGCCATTAACAACTCAGCCTTGTTTAAGGTGGTCTATTTATTTCTCATTCTGTTGAAATTTACCTATGTTAATCATAAACCAAGACTTTGAGTTTATTGTTTCTCCCCCACAAACCCAACTTGACTGCATCCATCTGTCTCCAGAAGTGATGAATTCTGCTGGGCTAGGTGTCATTTCTGGATTGAACATGTGTTATACCTGCAGAAATCGATATGTGAAAGGGGCTGCCATTCATAAATAGCACAGATAAATATGTTGACCTGTGATTGTCCAAGGTTTTTTGCCTTCTGCAGACTCTCTCTTCCATCATTCAGTTGTTTCCTTTGTCTGCTTATTCCCAGCCATTCTTGACTTCTTGTTTCCAAGTACTCTGGTCAGTAGCAAGGACTTCCCATGTATCAACTCTGACCATGGTCACCTTGAGCTCCTGCTTGCAAACATCCTTGCATCCTGGACGTGAGCAACCTGTTGGCCTTCTGCCAATGACGAGCTCATCATATCTCACCACTTTCATGGTGAGATTGTCATCCACTCCGTTCATGTAACCCAGCCAATGGAGTTGCTGCTGATTCTGGGGCATTACTGGGATCCCAGCTCATTGTTGTACATTCATGTTCAGTGCTCTGTTCTGCCAGGACATATCCAACAGTGGTCGGAGGCAGCAGAGTTGCTTTTCTTGCCTTGCAAAGGTGTGCTGCTGTTCCGCTCTCAACTTCTGAGCTTTACCATGGTAGCTGTGACCTTGGCAATCCTGGTGCTGGTTTTGTGATCAAAGGAGAAGTTTCTGGTAATCGTTGTTCCAAGATATGAGGTGGTCAATTTTGACAGAAGGTGGAGTCTCTACCTTCTGGCCCTAACTTTGGTCTAAGGTTGGTTATCAGTCCAAACACCTTACAGGCCCAGTCTGTTGCAGGTAAATCTCAGTACCAGATGCCAACCCGGTGTCATCAGCAAATAACAGCTCTCAGATTAGGACATTGTGCACTTTGGACTTGGTGTGTGGTCTTGCCAAGTTGAAACACTCAAACATAATATCAAATTTATTCATGTTATGGTCACTATTCTCAATAATATCCCTTCACTATGAGGATGTGAATTCAACCCGATTCATCAGTCATCTCTAAATGTAGAACTAACTTTATCCCTTTCCACATATTGGACCAGTGAACTCCTTCCAATAATTCACAAGAGTTTTCAGATTATTCTGCTTCTCCCAGTGTCCAAAAAACTCCAAATCTTTTGCTATACCCACATTTCTTCCAACTGTTTCCCCTCCTCTCTGCAGTTTCTTCACATCCTCAAGTTAGATCTATAGTCAACTGTCCGCGGTATGCTGTAGCTTCTCCTGTCCTTTCGTTCTGCCCACATTCTTGTCACTGTATATTCATCCTTTCTCCCTGCTGTCAATGTGCCTTTCAAGCAACATTACTATTCTTCCTCCCTTCCTGATTCAGTCCCGTAGCCCAGCTTGTAAACCAGGTGTTTATAATGGCAAGCCTTATACTAAAATGCTAACTCTTCTTTATTTCTTATGCTTTGTACTTTGTGTATTTTTATTTGGGGTAACTGTCCCCCAACACCCATTTATTCCATAATTTTCTGGTAGTGTTTCTCTCTTTGTCCGACCTGTATAACGTTATTCCAGCTATTTGATGTGTTCTTGTTTCTCGCTATGCCTTGAATTTAATAGTTATTTTACCACCTCTTCTGTTCCCAGGCTATTTATAATCTTTACCTCTTCTTATATTCTAATTTTTGTCCCTCCTCTTCTTAAGATATTTATTTAGTTTACAGTGTTGTTTAATCTCTGGGACCCTGATTCAACTCAGTGCAGAGAGAGTAGGCTATGAAAGCCCCCTCACTGTGTGCTGTTGTGTATCCTAAGCAAAGCTATTTTGCGCAGTCTGAACATTGAGTCTCTGCTGGTGCTGATTCATCAATCTCTTTCAAAGCACCACCACGAGGCACAGGAGGGTAGGAGTGGAGCTCTTGGCTGACTGCAACTGAATAAGTTAAATTCCAATTTTATTACATGGGATTTGAGGTTCTTTACCCAGAGCTTTGAGGATTGCATTGTACCCATTCGTGATGAGGCCACTGGTTCATTGGTTACTGAATAAGTGGCATTCTGCTTTCACAACCTGGGATTGAGATTTCTTTTGTCGGGTTTTATCTGGGAATAGAGTGGAGTTGTATTCTGAAATTCCACCTTTTGTTTATTTTTGGTGAACTCAGTGGCTTCAAGTTGAAGATGTCAGGACTGCTGCCTAACTCTCTTTACTGTCATTGCTCAGTAAGGAGGTGGTATGTCACCAGAGCAGTATTTGAGTCATGTACCTGCATAGTGTGCGGCCCTCGAGAGCTTCTGGCCTTTTGTGGAGGTGATTGGATAGAGGTTATTATGCTGCGTAACCAGATTAGCAAATGAACAATTCACCCATCAAATAAAAGCAAAGTACTGTGAATGCTGGAGATTTAAAATAAAAACAGTGCTGCAGAAACTCAGCACTCTGTCGTACAGCATGGAAACAGGCCCTTCGGTCCAACCAGTCCATGCCAACCATAATCCCAGCCTAAATTAAACTTCTGGCAGCATCAGTGGAGGGAGAAACAAAGTTAAGGTTTCTAATCTGATATAACTCTTCTTTGGAACTCTGGATGCTGAGTTTAACCTGCTGAGTTTATCCAGCACTTTGTTTCTATTAAGAAATAGCAACGGGAGTTGGCCATTCAGCCCCTCAGGCCTTATTGTTTAAGAATTTGTCACGCTGCTGCATTCACATTGTTGTCTGCCGTCTCGTGTAAGACTCCCTCCCACTGGCCCATCCCGATATGCTTTTGTTGATAGTTGATCAAGGTCCAATATCCTCCAAATGCTTCCCATCTAATCCTCTAGACGAGGAGTCACCATGTGTACACAACATCGAAAGGGCAGAAGCAAAGGAGCCTGTTCCCATTTGATTTGCCTTGATTTTATGGGAGATTTGAGATCCATTTATTATCAACCTCAGTGCTGCAGCATTTGCAAACAAATTCCAAAGACTCCCAACCCTCCAACTGAAGAAATTTCTCCTCATTTCAATTCTAAATGATCAGACCCTGTCCTGAGACTGTACTCCTGCATCTGACGAGTGTAAACAAGCTGTAGGAATCCACCCTATCAAGCCCCTTCAGAATCTTATTTTTCAATGTGATCACCTGAAATCAGGGCTCATCGTTCCAAAGATAATAAGATTGTAGCCAACAGGTAGAGGGAATGGTTTGAAGCCTGTATTAAAACCATGAACCGACTGGCTGCCTTTTAGGTATATGGACCCTCTTCCTCAACCTTTTCTGCCTTGCACAGTTCACCATTCTGTCTCCAAATGGTTCTCTGTTCCTGGCTCCTTTGTTACTGTTCAGTGAGTTGCCCAGAGGTTTATGCTCACAACCACTGTGTTGATTAAACTGCATTCCTGTCCAGACTGTCTGCCCTCCTTACTTCAATAAGGTTCAGTCCAGTGAGATTGAGCATGCATTAGTCTGGCACTTCAGTTAATGCTAATCCCTGGAGAGAAATGTGATTCTTCAGTAAGAGACTGCACGATTATTATTCTTCTCCCTTTCAAAGCCATCCATCTCCCCTGGACACGATAGGAAAAATAGCCAGTACTGGTTTCTGATGGTTGGGCCATTAAGGGAGGAGCGAGAGAAGCTTTTTTTCTCCTTAACCTGGAATAGATGCCCTTCCCTTGTGAGTCACCTTTTTCTCACTGATAGCACTCCAGCCTGAGCCAGCAGGCTGGGATGGTTCAAGCCTCACTCTCGAACACTCAAGGCAGGTGCTGCTCTGACAGAGGTGCTGTCTTTTAAATGAGATGTTAAGCTGAACACCTCCCTATCAGGTGGATTTAAACGCAGCCCCACCTCTCTTTCAAAGAAGCACAGCTGTGTTCTCTCGCTGATGCCCTGGTTAATTTGTCACAAAATCAACATCACTTCAGACAGATTACCTGCAGTTTTCACCTGCTATTAAAGCTCAATGCATGCAAATTGGCTGCATGCAGTACTTCGTACTGCACAGCATTTCCTGTTTATGGGACTGTTTTGTTGCAGAACTGCAGGAGGTCACAATGACCCTGAATTTCCTGACTACCTCTTTGTAAGAGGTAAAGTCCACCCCAAGCAGAAACATGTCTTTCTATTGCTTGAAGTGTTGCAATGACCTAGTGTCCACCGTACAAACGACAGGTTCTGCCAGGAGTCCGCTGTTCCCTAGTGTAGGGAGCCACCACTTGGCCTTTTAAGCTGGATCTAACTGTGTGCAATCACCTTCATGAACCTAGTTGATTCGTCAAATTGATTAATCAGTGTGGTTTGCAGTAGTTCGAGTGAGGAGAGAACCTGGTTGTGTCACTCCCTGCTGGCTGCTTGGAGATGTTAGCGGCTGCAGGGAATGGTCTTCAGATCAATAGCTTTTTTAAAAAATAATTTGCTGAAATATTGGATTCGCAGCTCCCTCTGATGGTTCAATTAGTAAAGACCGAACCTTAATGAGCTGTGTAGACCAGCAAATTGAAGCTGTAGTTTCCAGTCTGTGTTAGGTTTGTATTCTCATCTGGAGTTATAATAAAGATACAATTCTCTTTACTGACAGTGCTGAGGCAGTGAAATATGCCAGGTTTTTGTGTTCCACTTAATGGGAAAATATGTCTGTGTATCTACATGTCAAAAGAGGACATGATTTGCGCTGATGCCACCAGCCATTGGAAAAGGTGGAGGCCACTCATGTCTGAGTCTGTTCTGCTATTCATCTATGTCATGGTTGATCCAGATCTCAGCTCCATCCTTGCAGCCTAGCTTCCTGTGCCACTCCAGGTCAGGCAGCATCTGTAGACGGAGAAACTGACTTGACATTTCAAGTTGATGGCAAAGTAGAGTTCCAAAAATTCATCAACCTGAAACATGAGTGCTGTTTCTTTCACCACAGATCCACTGAGTATTTTGAGTATTTTCCATTTCTTCATTTCTTCAATTTTGAATTTCGCATTGACCGAAGAAGTTTTTTTTTAAAGGGAGAGTTCAAGAATTTGTTATAACTCTGAAGAAATCCTTCCTAAATTACAAATTCGGAGCAGGAATAAGTCGTTCAATCCCCTTGTGATTCAATAAGAACGTGGCTGATCTGTTTGTGTTTCAAGTTTCACCTTTCCATCCTCGCCAGCAATTTTAGTTTCTTGTTAGGCAAGGAAATTGACCTCCCCCCACTTGAAGAAAAAATTCAATGATCGCCCCTCCTCTGACTTCTGAGGCAGAAAGTTTCAAAGTTGCGCAAGCTTCTGAGAAAAATATTCTCCTCATCTGTCCTAAAAAGGTAACCTCTAAACAGTGCTGGCTAGTTCTGAGCTGATCTACAAGAGGAAACCTCCTTTCCTCACTCACCTTTTCAAGACTGTTCAGAATCCTATATACTTCAATCAATCAATACTTCATTGCTCACACCTTTGAGCTGGATGTTATGTTGTACAAGACGTTGGTGGAGCCACTTCTGATATACTGTGTCCAGTTCTGGTGTTCCTGTTATAGGAAGGATATTATTAAGCTGGAGAGAGTTCAGAAGAGATTTATCAGGATGTTGCCAGGAATGGAGGATGTGAATTACAAGGAGAGGGTGAATAGGTTTGGACTTTTTTCACTGGACCATAGGAGGTTGAGGGGTGACTTTATAGAGGGGTATAGATAAGGTGAATAGCAGGTGTCTTTTCACAGTGGTGGAGGGTTTTAAGACTAAGGGACATATTTTTAAGATGAAAGGAGAGAGATTTAAAAAAGACGTGGGGGCAAATTTTTTCCATTTACTCAAGGTGGTTTGTGTGTGGAATGAACCTCTAGAGGAAGTGGTAGATGCGGGTACAGTTACAATGTTTAAAAGACATTTTGGTAAGTACATGAATAAGAAATGTTTGGAGGGATATGGGCCAAGTGCAGACAATTAGGACCAGTTTAGTTTGGGATTATGTTTGGCATGGTCTGGCTGGATCAAAGGGTCTGTTCTGTGCTGTATGACTCTAAGTCACCTCCCCGCTCCCTGTTTTTTAAATTCCAATTAAACAAGCCCAGGCTGTGCAACCTTTCCTCAAGGCAACCTGCTTGTGCCAGGTATTAATCTAGTAAACCTTCCCTGAACTGCCTCCAAAAACGTTGTTCTGTCCCTGCTAATATGTTACCCCATACCATGAGTTCCTACTTTGTTTTCCTTTGTGTGGGGCTTGGATTTTCCGAAGGCATTTTAAAAATATAATACATCCACAGTCTCCCCTTTATCCACAGTAAATGTTACGTCTTCAAAATACACTGATAAATTATTAAACATGATTTCCCTTTCACAAAACTATGCTGACTCTTCCTGATTGCTTTGAGAATTTTAAGTGCCCAGATATAACCTCGTTAATGATTGATTCCAGCATCTTCCCCCAACAGAGAATCAAGCTAAATGACTTGTAGTTTCTGCCTCCCTCCCTACCTTGGAGAGGAATTATATTTGCAACTTTAAAGTCTGATAGAAATTTTCCAGAATCAAGCAAATTTTGAAAAATTAACATCCAACACATCATCTGCCTCACTAGTCATTTCTTTTAAGACCAGGGACGTGTCAGCGTGCATCTCATCAGTTTGCTCAGTACTCCTTCTCTGGTGGATGGCATTTCACCAAGTTTCTCTCTTCCTTCCACCTCCTGATTTATAGTTGTTATTAGAATATTTTTTGTAATCCCAAAGTGAAGACAGAAGCAAATATTTTCCTTATCTACTATTAATGTGCTTACGCTCTAAAGCACTAATCCTCACTTTATTTACTCCTTCCCTTTCAAATACTTGTAGAACGTCACGCTGAGCATTGTACCTTAAATACATTGCCAACATCCTCAGTTTAGTCTGTGGTTGAAGTGTCAGTCGGGTACTGGTACTGGGCACGACCTATTCTTGTGGACACTCATCCCAGCAGGAGTCAGTGTGTCAAGGAAAGGTTGTTGGGGGAAGAAACTGCATTTGAACTTGTGCCTTTTGTTTAAATCACATTTCTTCTTCCATAGGTAACACCGCGGAGAACGACAAGGAAAGTGCTTCTCGGTGCATCCCTGAATGGAAACCCCCTCCTCTCCTCCTCTTCCTCCTCCTCCCGGATTGTCCCAGTCTGGGTACGGGAGCTGGTCTCTTCACTCTCTGCTGATTGGTGGGGCATTGCCGTGAAAGCCATCAAGACTTCACCTTCCCGGGGGCAAATCTCTGGGCTGCACTGATTTGACAAAGATTGAGGGGGTGGGTGGGAGGGAGGGAGGGCGGGTGGCATGGAGAGGGAGGGAGGGAGGGATGAGGCTTATTATAAACCAGCAATACAATATGTGTAACTCAGCTCATGGAATCCAAGGAGATGTTTCTTTGCAACGAAAGGTGCACAGGTGAAGCAGCGTGCTCCAGTGCTGCACCCATTATAACAAAGGCAAGTTTGAAAAGAGGGGATATGTTCTCTCTCTAATATTGGATGGGGAGGGGGGATGGGCCGCAAGGTGGGCAGTGAAATTAAATATTTTTCTTTTGAACTTATCTTGCATGGCAAAGATGAGCTCTTGGTGTAGAGATCTTGTGGATTTCAACATATCCACGCCTCAACTGCTTCTCCTTCCCACCACCCCCCGCCCCTACTCCCAACAAATCACCACAAAAACACACAATTTCATAAATGAAAACTATGCTGAGAATCAGACAACAGTTTTTACACCTTTTTTTCAAATCCAAGTCTGACCCAGATTAATGGGGGAGTTAGGGATCTCTGTAATCAGTTAAGGGCACCAAAGGTACACAAAACTGGTTGGGTCTCAATTTAATGATTAATGGGATTTCTTTTCTTTCGTTCTTTGGTTCATTGAGACATGTGGCCAGACGGTTGGTCTCCATAAGCCACAAAGCACCCCAGCTCTTTTATTTACAGTCAGAGGGGTCTGTTGGGACAATTGGCATGAAATGCTGGACAGATTTTTCATTTTCTCGAACTTTCGCGGAATGTAACAGAATGGACAGAATTGCACTTGCAAAAGGTGACCATATACAGACGACTTAATCTTGCCATAATGTACATTTTCTGTAAAGTCAGTAAAACTAAAATGGGGGAGCTCAGCCCCTCCCAAAAAAAGTCACTTTCTGTATGTGCTACACAATAAGCTTTTGAATTCAGTCAGCAAAACGATTGCAGTTAAAACCTCAGTATACACGCAGTGTCATCAGGATTTCTTGCCTTGCAAACTCAGAACCCGCTGCTTGTAGAAGTTTCCAGCTGTCTTTGTGTGGATAAGAGTGTGACGCTAAACCAAGATGTTTCTCTGCCCATTTTGTACAGTGAGCATTGCAATGACATCAGTTCAGGAGTCATCCTTAAGTTGAATTTGAGACAGTTTGATTTGGCTGTGTGACTGTTTTCTTTTCCTTCCTTCTGTTCGCTTGAAGCTCTTCCAACTCCTGTTACATTTGAAGAGCGAAGACGAGGAGCAATAAAAGCTGCTGACATCCTGTGCTGCTCCACCACACTTTCTATGGGAGAGAAGCGGGTGGCTATTAATGCTCGGCATTTATCTGTCGAGTGAGCTGTAATCTCCCCACTGTAATGAGGGTGGGGGTTCTGGAGTAGGACTGTAAATAACACTGGCATGGACCACTGTAAAACTTTGTTCTTGGACCGACATGGAAATACATCAGCAAGTAACGGCAGGTGCAAACACCTTGAAACCCAGCCCCAAAGTAGTTGTGATCAAGATGAATGGTTCACTTTCCTTTTGAAAACCGCTTCACACTATTGGCAACCAGTTTCTTTCTCATGCAACTGTTTCAAAGCCTTTGGGGTCTTTGATGCCATGAGCTGATCAGTGTTAAATATTAAATGGTGAGTTATCTATATTTTCATATGGAGAAAAAAGAAACTTTTTTTGTGCAAAATGATGTTTTAGGAAGAGATGGGCCTACCTTCCACAGTCCAGGATTGGCTGGATTCCAAAAAAAAATCTGAAGACGGAATGGCAGGGCGTCTTTCCAGACGGCCCCAGACATGTTTGAGGGGGCAGGGGGTTGGCAAATTCCAGTCCCATTCTCTGCTCATTGTGCCACTCAGAATTGATCACTACTGTGGGTGGGTACTTGAACTTCTTGGGTACACCCATCAAGTTTTGTTAGCACTTGGGCAGGGCAGCATGGGTAGATGCTACACATGTTCATCTGTCCTCCTGCCAACTACAGACCTTGTACCATTAATAAGCACAGACAGCCCAATCCTTGGCATCCTGAGTGGTGGGAGTAGGGAGCTGGGAAGACATCCCACTCAAGTCAAGAGAGAGACCACCACCACCAACACCCCCCCCACCCACCCCCACCCCTCTTTGACAATGAGATGGTTTATCTTGTATCAAATCTGCCTAAAATCGCATAGACCATGGAGAAATTACACTTGTGACCTGCAGTCATTTCGACTGCAGGCAACGCATGAACCATTGCCCACTCTCACTGCAAGGATGCATCAGCAGCTTGTGTTCTGTTGTAGGTGAGCAGTGAGAGTTGATGAGGAAAGCATGTCTGTTGGAAGCAAGCAGCTAAAGTAACTTAAGTTCGCTTATCTAGTTGGTCATCCTGGTACCCCACCCAAAAGATACTGTAGCCCAGCAGCTCTGCACTGATCTTGGGCAGTGGTGGATTTAGTAGCATTTATTGCAAATGACTCTGAAAGAGTAGGTCTCTTCTCTGATGCAACATTGCTTTAGAATATCCTCTCGATTACTTTTGAGGCTTGTATATGAGGATACCTAAGGCCAGTAATATGAGGATATTTTTGGTGTTCTTTTATTGGAATGTGCTCACGAAATGGCATTCTTGAGTTTCACATTGACATGTAGGTGACTGTTTGTTTGAAACTCCCATGGAGCAGGGTGTATGTGGTCTGCTGCAGAGATTGAGAGAGCAAATACAACTTAAGCAGCCAGCATCTCTGCCCAAAGAAGAAAATGCATTAAATTTTCTGTTCTTGAACCTAGGTGTGATTTGTCTGAAGCAGTACATACCGATGTGCCAGTTTAATTGGCTGCCGGTAAGCCACCAGTTCTGGGAGAATCATTCATTGGAATTTTGTTGCAGCCATTTGCTGTCCTGCTGTAAAACTCCATTCCTTCCACAAGAGGCAGTCAGAGAGCTATGTGCATGGTATAGTGACAGCAATCAGCTCATCAGCCATTTACTAATGGTTCATTTGATGTATTGTCTTAAGCCAGCTCCGCTGTCACTACTGCCAGCATCACCAATCTAATCTGACTCTCCTGTCTAAAAGCCAAAAATAAAACACTTTGGAGTAGTATTTTTCTGTTTTGAGACCGTTTTCTTAACCTGCTTTACCTCACATGATAAAGGCGAAGGAGACAAATAACAGTCGTGTAACGGATAACGGGTACCAGGTTGTAACTTAGCAAAGGGATTTCAATTGATGCTTTAAAGCCATGAGAGTGAATCTTCAACAGTCCGAATCCCCAAAGTGACGTTGCTGCCTAGAAATCCCTCCATTTCTCTAAGTAATCTATTTATACAAATTCTAATGTTTGATCCCTGACTTGTGCTGTTAACTGAGTTCAGTGAGAGCAGCAGAAGGGATACTTCAAAGTAGAAAGTTCTAACCAGGGTTTCTGGAAGGTCCACTCTTAATTTTTTTTTCTTCCACCTTTTTTGAGAGTAGGACATTTTTAGTCAAGGGGATCTCTGTTTTTGACCTCAAAGAACAGTTGTAATTTTTGTAGGATCACTGATAAAGTTCAGCCACTTGAAAGGAATTCAGTGCCATGTGCGCATGGGCACTGGATCATAACACACAAGTCAGCATCTGTAATCAGTTCCCATGCAAACAATTTTGAAATCCAGCCAAAAATGGGTTGAAGTGAGGGGAAATCCCGTCTCTGTTAAGATTATTGATGTTTGAAGTGTGCGGCAAATCGTAATAAAATATAAAACCAGAGCAGGTGTCTGTCTGGCTGATTACTGTTCCCTTTGGTAACAAACACTGAAACAAAAAGGAGATTCTGAGGAGAGAGAGAAAAAAGATCTATTAAAGCAATTTTTTTGTTGTAAAAGTAAACGTATATTCTAGGAGAAATGTTATTGTTTATATACCAGAATTGTACAGACTTGAACACGTTAGTAGGGCTGTACAAACCTGACTGTTGTAATAAAATATTCTATCAATTTCAAAGGATTATTGAATATTTAATCTCTCAATTTGAATATTGGAAGTTGATACTGGTCCAAGTTATCACTAGTTTGGTTTAAAAAAAAATTATGGTGCATTGAAGGGAGGGTGTGAAGTGCTGATAGGAGTTGGACAGTTGTGTTTAATTTAAGCTTCATTGATATTTGGTACTGTACAACATGTCTAAGTTCTCTTGAGATTCCTGTAATGCTAGTTTGACTAAATCTATGGTTGAAATGTGGGGAGAGTGGCTTAGATTTTGATGCTTACTGATTTTTCTTTTTAAAGCTCCCTAAGAACCTTGATCATCACTACTTGGTTACATCTGAATAACAGGCCGAAAAGAGAGATTTCTTCACTTCAGAAGTTGTGAATCTTTGGAAATACTCTACCCCAGAGAGTTTGGGATGTTTCCCTGTTGTATGCATCTGAGGGGATTCAAAGGAAGTAAGTGGCAAGTGGGGAAAATGGAGTTGAGGCAGTAAATCATCCATGATCGTATCTAATGGTGGCGCAGACTCGAGAGGCAAAATGGGCCACCCCTGCACCTATTTGTGAAATTACCAGTGGAAGACGGTGCAGTGAAAGGTCGAGTATGTGTTTATATTTCTCACCTTGGAGCATCCTGTAACACTGAGCAGTGACTGCTGTTTAGGCATTTGCAACAGCCAAGTTGTGCGCAGTAAGATTCCATGGTCAGCAACAGGATGGATGACATCCCCATCCTGTCGTGTTAGTTGAGGGATATATGCCAGCCATGGTGGTTGGGTGGGGGGGCGCGGGGAGGCGAGATGGGGAGTATCTCTGAGCATCTCTTGCGTCCACGGCCAACAGTGGCTGAGCCTTGTTTTAATGTCTCCTCAAGAGGTGACCCAATGCTTTTCATTTTCATCTTCAACCAAGAAGCTGGTAAGCTCCTGGTGTGGCTAAGCAATAGCTGCTGATTGTTCTGCAATGGTTCTTGCAGAGAACATCTTCCACAAACAAGGTGTACTTAGATCCAGATAGAGTTCCAGGTGGCCATCATGGTAATCCCCAAAGGCTGAGAAGATTGTGGTTTTTACCTACCTCTTAAAGCTAAGAGTAGAATTTTACCTGACCTCCAGAGTCCGTGTCTCTTCAGTCGTCCTAAGTGTTCAAGCATCAACAAAACTAAGAAATGATAATGGCTACATGAAGGAAGATTTAACAAACCTCTTGCGCATAGTAGCATTTGAGAAAAGAAAACAAGACTTGCGTTTATACAAGACTTTTCACAGCCATCAGACGTCACAAAGTATTTTATGCAAATGAAGTACTTTTTGGAAGTATAGTCACTGGTGTAGGAAACGGTGGCCAATCCCACAAGCAACTTAATGCCGATGACTCGATAATGTGTTTCTCATGATGTTGATTGAGGATTAAAAGTTGACTAGGACACGGGAAAACTCCCCTGTCCTTTCCAAAATAGTACATCTTGGAATTGGAAACAGGAATTTCCACTTGACTCTTTGAGCCTGCCTATTCAATAAGATCATGGCTAATCTGATTACTCCATATTCATGCCTTCCTCTGATAATTTTTCACCCTCTTGTTTATCAAAAATCTCAACTATCTCTGTCTTAAAAAGATTCAGAGTTCCAAACACTCATGACCCTCTGTAAGAAAAACATTGTTCTCCTATGTTTTGTCTTAAATGGGTGAACCCTCCCTACCCTCCAATCTAGAATCTCCCACAAGAGGAAATGTCTGTTCCACGTCCACCCTGCCAAGATCCTGCAAGATCTCATGCATTTCAATCACCTTGCTTCTTAAAATTTAGCAACCATACCTTCTCTCCCTTCATCCAAGTTATTTAGACAAATTATAAAAGATTGTCTCTGGCACTGATCTTGCAAACCAAAACCTTATCAATTTATGCATTCCTTGTTTCCTGTTAGCTAGCCAATCCTCTATCCATGCCAGTACATTACCTTCCACAGCATAAGCTCCAATTTTCCACAATAACCTTTGTAGCACCTAATCAAATGTCTTCTGGAAATCTAGGTACAATACATCTACCAGTCCTCCTTTACCTACAGCACATGTTACATCTGGGCCATAGTGCCATAAAATCTTTTACATCTACCCAAATAGATGGGGCCTCAGGTTATCTTCTCGTCTGGGAGGTGCTACCTTTGACAGTGCACTGCTCCCTCATCCTGCTCTAGTTTGTCAACTTCGATTTTATGAACTCAAGCCCCAGAGTGGAACTCGAACCAGATACTTTGCATCTCAGCAAAAGTGTTACACATGCTGAACTACGGCTAACACTCATGACATTAAGCTTCCTCGTTCTTTTTAATTGCAGCAGTTTACCTATTCTTCTGCCAATGCTGTAAGGTAAAATAACCATAAGGTAGTTACCCCTTGGTTATATGTGAATAAGCTACTTGGGACTGTAGAGCAGAGATGATGAAGTTTTATTCATACATGCCATGGGCTTTTCGATGGAGTGTAACTAAAACTAAAAAGACTGCGTGGGAATCTAAAGTTGGCAACAACGGAAGTGAATGATCGGGAGAAGTCAGGCCAGGTTGGAGAAGAATTGAGTGGGTGAACCTCAAACTGAACAGAAAGAGGAACAATAGTGGTACCCAGAATTGCAGTGAACAGAAAGTGAAGCCTACTGCCCCCTTGTGATGAAAGGCTAAATCTGAAACGGTGACTGACAATCGCAAGTAAGGAGCTTGACTGTTTGCCTTTCCTGCCCCCTGCTGTTTCCTAGCTCTGTCGCAAAACGCCACTCTGAAGTATTGACTGAAATCAGCCGCATAAGCAGGTTTTAAATCTGGGACTTCTGTGCTAAGTATGGTCCAATATCTAATCCATTAAGCCATCTCTTCCTCACTCTCTTTCCTCTTCTTTCCCCTTGCCCTTAAATTGCACAGTGAGCTGTGGGCAAATGAAGGGTAAGTGTTTAAGATAGACTAAAGACTAAGTTCCCTGAGCCTTCATTTGAAACTCAAGCTGTATAAACTTTCACTGATATGGGTAGGTTCTTAGATTTACAAGGATTGATTTACAAATGGGGAATGCAAGTACTGGGAACAATCCCTTTTGCTTCTAGATCAAGTGGTTGAACAGGAGAATTAACCTTTGCAGTATGTTGTTTCTGTTTGACAAGCTTATGGGGAACATAGAACAGGGCTGCTCAGCCCGTAGAGTCTGCCCTCCCATTCACTACAATCATGGCTGATTGAACGCTTCGATGCCATTAATAGTCAGCTATCTATCAATCTCTACCTTTAAATATACTCCAAGACTGAGCTTCCACAGCCCTCTGTGGTAGACAATAGCAAAGATTCACAACCCCCTGAGTTTAAGACAAATCTGAAATCAAAATGGCATTGCCCTTATTTATAAACTGTGCCCCCTGGTTCTAGACCTCAACCAGGGGAAACATTTCATATGCATCTACCCTGTTTATCCCTTTTGTAAGTTTCAGAGAGCTCACCTCTCAAAACTCAGGAGAAAACAGGCACAGTCTTGCTGCCTGCCATCCCAGGGCAATGGCTGATGAATCTTTGTTGCACCCACTCTGTGGTATAGCTGAGGAAAGACAAGAAGACCAAAACCACACAAAGTACTCCACACACAATCCAACCAAACTCTTAGATATTTTTTATCAACCTGGTTGGATATGTTATGACAGACTTCTGGTGCAGGTAGGTCTTGAACCCAGGTCTTTGGATCAAGGATATGACACCAATGCTGCACTACATTATTTTTGCAGCTAAATTGATGAATTCAGTTTAGACATTTTCTAATCATGTTCAGAGAATTTGTTGGACACATCTGTAGAGGAAATGGGACTTGAACCTAGGTCTCCTAGCTCAGAGGTAAGGAAACCACCACTGCACCACAAGAAGCTTTAAGAAGCCCTTCTAATCAAGTTCCTATATACAATTGACACACATCAATGGCATGTATCTGGGGTAGGTGAGACTTGAACCTGGGGCTTCTGGTGCAGAGGTACAGACACTGCCACTGCATCACAAGACTGTTATGAACACAATAATATGATGTTGCATGAGGCCTTTTGGCTTATTATGTCTGTGTCTCTATGATAACACTAACCAAATAATCCCATTACCACTCTTTCCCATAATCCTAAATCTACCCCCTTTTGAAACTTATTAGTGAAGATGCTACCAAAAGTTGATTTGCTGTCCTAAAGGAGGGCTGAAGGAGTATTGCGATGTTGGAGGTGCCGTATTTTAGACAAGAGGTAGCCTGAGACCCCCTCTACTCTCGCAATAGTCCTTGATAGGCTTTAAATCCAGTAAAGTGTTTGGACTTATTGAAGCTTTTCCTATCCTTTTGGATGAGCCAGAACCTCGTAGGTGATGAATATACAGTTGGAAGATGATTACCGCTTTCACACAGCAAGGTCCCAAATGGGTTAATTGGTGTATTTCTTTGAGAGATGTGTTGGATTGAATGATTTCCCTGCTGTTCCTTAAACATTGCCACATCCACTTGTAACACAGAGGTTGTGTGTAACGATATGGCACTGCCTCTATTGTACACTGAAATGTTGGAAAGCTGTTGTCCTAATTGATGGAGTGATGTTTGAATTCATGACCTTACGACTTAAACTTTGGAGACCTCCCAACTCTCGATTGCAGGAGAGGACTTAAGCAAGTGGTAAAGATATGAATCAGAGTTCAGGGTACCAGAGCTATGTTGTTGAAAATGGATTTGCTTGATTTTACATCATTGAGCTAAGTAACGATATGTATATAATTATCTTAATTAGTGTGTTCGGATGTTATAACACGCTTCTGGAGCAGGTGGGACTCTAACCTGGACACTATCACTGATCCAAGCCCTAAGGCTCTTATGGCGTAATCAGCTTTCTAATCAACCTGTTCAGAAACATTATAACGCACCCCTGGTGCTGGTGGTTGTTGAATCTGGGCCTTCTGGCTCAGAGGTAGGTGCATTACCATTGCACCATAAGAGCCCCAATGATATGTTTG